GTTCTATGATTCTATGATTCTATGAAGATGAACAGGCCTTTACAAACAGTAGCTGCAAATAGCTGCATCTTGCTAAATGCTTGTTTTTATCTGCAAGTCAAGACTGTGCCCTCCTTGTGTAAAGAGAAAATGAACGTGAACCGTATCATCTGAGCCCACATCATCAAGGAAGATGCAAGTACTGTGTTTCTGATGTAGTAACATAAATATCTTCCTTTAAGCCTCTTATTTTATTATGGTGAGACACGTATTATGACAAAATGTTTCCAGGAGTTGATATTTCTCTTAAATAAAATTTACTCTATTTGAAAAAGATGGAGAGAGAAGCCTTTACAATAAATCTGATGTATCAAGGGTCCATGACTCACTATCACCTTTTTCTACTGCTACCAGGCAGAAAAGGCTCACAGTAAACAAAAAGGAAAAAGGAAAAGCAAGACACTAGAAAACAAATGAAGGGAAAAAGTAATAGCAAATAGGAAACACAAGAGAAGTGGAACGAGAGAGGGGTAGAAAGAGAACGTAGCATTTACATAAAGGTAAAGGAAAAAAGTACCAGGGAAATAACTGACAGTGATGTCATTGTGTCTCAGCTTCCCCTAACTGCAAAAGAAAAACGTATTGGTGAGGTGAAATTCCGCAGAGCAAAAGGGATCTCCCCGCCGCTGGCAGAAGGGAATTTCAGCACCTTGGCAAAATAATCCACATATTGACAAATGCTTTTCTCAGCTTTGACCATTGATGGATGGAAATTCTAGGATTATCTCAGTCCAAACAGAAAAGACTTAACTCCACCTGTAATTTTAAGTAAAACTGATTTGGGGGGTTTAATAATGGCTTTGGTGAAATTCGCAGCCAAAGCGCTGACTTCAGCTGTGAGGATCACACTCGTGTATTCTTCCCTTACCTTGAACTTCAGAATTTTTGGACCAGCTCCCCTACGGAAGCTAAACTGCTGCATTAACCTTAGGATGCCACTTAATTTTAGATTTAATAATGGCAAATTTCATGGCATGCATAGTTTAACCTGCTTTGAGCAGGAGGCTGGACTGGTTTCCTAAGGTCCCTCTCAACCTAAAGTATCGTATGATCCTATGGTTCAAGACTAACTCTAGGGTTTCAACTGTTACAGGCGTGGAAAGTGCCTTTTAAAAAGAAAGTTGTCTTTTGGCACTGTTCTATTTAAAGCAGAAGCAAAGCTTTCACCATAAGCCTCAGTGAGACATTCCAGACATCAGCTATTAAACCACTAAATAAAACCCCGAATAAAATATTTTTGACAGTGTCTGTAACGATACTTTTCCTTAATTAACTAGAATCTCCTAAACTAGACTTTGGTGGAAAATGAGAAACTTACCCAGCCACCATTCGCATCTATCCATTCAGCTTTGTTGTTTATTATGTACTCTGTGATGAAATAAGAAATCTGTTCCTTCTCTTTTCCAGTGAGATGAACTCCATGCTCTTGAAGCTTCTTAGTGAGAAGACCTCCAAACGTAAATATGGTCATAATTCGTCCCCAGTTAGTATTTCCATCAGCAAATTTTTCTTCCATGACGCCATTGAAAATTCTCTTGGCAACAGCTACAGAGGTGATATCAATCCTGTCCAAGAATGGTCTGAGAGCCTCCTCGGTTTGATCTTGCAGCGAAGATGCAATGTTTCGCAAGACATGAGCGACCCTGGTTTGGGCTGGTCCGAGATGTGATTCATGAAGCACATATTGCAGATAATCTTGAGCTAAGTAGTAAACGTAACAGAACTCGGCACTTTCCATTTAGATTGAAATGTGGAGAGCAGTGCACTGTTCCTAATCAGGGTCTGTAATGAGCAGCCCCAGGATATGCACACAGATTTATGTTATCTGGTTTTGATGGAATTTTTTTGCTTTACCACAGAAGTTCCTGTAAAACCTAGCGACAACGAATTGTGTGGGCTGTGGAATATGTCATAGAGGAAACGAAAGAAAAAGTGTCTGCTCAAGCGGATTCTTGGGTAATTTATTATGTCTCTAAATAGTATGAATCCACAACTGAAACCTACCAGCTTTTACCACATTGTTTGGCAGCACAAATTGGCATTTCCTAGGGACTTTTGCTACATAACACTAGCAAAGGTTTGGCATTTGTCTTACAGAATGCTGAGAATGGCATGTGCTGGCAAAGGTTAGGCATTTGACTTGAAACAAACAAGCCTAAAAAGTGTGTGCTAGAGGAGCATGCAGCATCCCACCCCAATCTCTTCTTGCCAGGCATCAAGTGTGCAATCTGTATGGCAGGTTAGGGGGTTATTTCTGGTTCACAACTTTTTGAAGAGACTGGTAGACATTTCCAACAGAGTGGAAGACTGGATAAACTTTCTTTAGCACTCAGGGAGCTTTACAGAACTGCAAAAAGTGGGAACACATGGTGCAAGTATGGATGGAAAAAGGGGAAAGCCAGCTTTATGGAATTATCCCCTGCTCCGAACTTTCCCATGCTCTCTCTGGGAGTGCTTATTCCTGTGTGAGGGCCCCAGGCTGGCAGTTCTCTGCTGCTCCTTCTTGCCTAAAGCCCTGGGGTGAGAGCCCCAGGCTGGCAGTTCTCTGCTGCTCCTTCTTGCCCAAAGCCCTGGGGTGAGAGCCCCAGGCTGGCAGTTCTCTGCTGCTCCCTCTTGCCCAAAGCCCTGGGGTGAGAGCCCCAGGCTGGCAGTTCTCTGCTGCTCCTTCTTGCCCAAAGCCCTGGGGTGAGAGCCCCAGGCTGGCAGTTCTCTGCTGCTCCCTGCACTGGGGACAATGACAATCGGGGAGGGGGCCGCCGTGCCTGGGGGGGGGGGAGGGGGGG